GTGTGTTTTTCTATTGGAACTTATAAAGTTACCCAATTAACTGATACTGTTGGTATTTACACTCCTAATAGATCATCCGTTTTAGATCTTAATGAGTTTATCTTTGATTATAAAAATTCCCTTAGGTATATTTCTTCTTATGTTGAAATTTATCCTCCATTTGTTGTATTTACTTTAATTAATATACCAATTTTAGAAAGTAAAAATTTACTAATTTTTAACATTGGTGTGTTAGGTGGACCAGATGATATTGAATATAATTTTAAAATTAAAAGACTGTTATGTAAAGGATTATGTAAACAGTATCTTTTAACTAAAAATTATAATATTGTTGATTCTTGGATCTTTATTGGTATAGCTGGATATTTGGAAGATTATATGGTTAGATATTTGTTGGGTCATAATGAATTCTTATATCAATATAAATTAGATAAAGATTATGTACTTCAAAATGATGTCAGAGAACCACCTTTATTTTATTATAAGAGGGATTTTCATAATTATCAATCTAAATTTTTTATACTTAAATCCAAATTATTGTTTCATCTTATGGATACTGAATTATCAGGTGGTTTTGTTAAAAAAATTATACAAGAATTAGAGGTTAAGAAAATTGATAATGAAAATCTTAAAACTCCATTTTTTATAAGATTGATCAAAGACTCATCAGGAATTGATATGAAGAAATTCTTTGATTTCTATGTATTTAAACCAGGATTATTAAAGATTGAATTGTTTGTGAGTTATGATACAAAAGCAGGTGTTGTTGAAATTAAGACAAGTGAGACTCCCACCTCTATATTAAATAAGGCTAATAAGGAGTATTATGATTCTATTTTAATAATATCAGTTGAAACAGAAGGTTCATTTTATCATAAAATTTACACAAATAAAAATAATGAATATTTTGTGCATAAAAAGGGAGAGGACGGAGAATTACTTTTTATAAGAGGTGATTTTAGAAGAGAAAATATGAATGCAATTATAGTAATACAACATGATTATATGTATGTAGAACAGTTATTAGAAAATGAAGTAATAGGTCAGATAGAAGCTATAGAATCACTTAAAAAAATACTTACTGAGAAAATATTATCAACGTTAGATCAAGTATTAGAATATCCTTATACGTTCTATAAAATAAAAATACTGATCTATGAGATTATTCGAAACTTTAGAATAGTAAACAGTGATAGTAATAGTTGTAAGTTTAATGGACTAATGAAATTAATACACATTTTTATTAAGATGAGATGCTTACCTAATTCAACAATATTGAAATCAACTAGTGGTGGAATACAAAATTTTTTAATACAGAAGGGTCTTGTTAAAAATATTACAGAAGTGGAATTTAATATTAAAGACACAGCTGAATGGAATCTTAGTGATAATTTTTATGATAGTTATGATCATAAAACTAAGAAAGGGTGTATTAATGAACTAAGGATTGTAATATCATTTCTATTTAACATTATTAATTATAATGATAGTACACGTGAATACTTTGATGATCCTTTGTATTTATTTATGGTTCTTAACAAATTTGTCCTTTTGAATATTTTTTATCATAAAATTAGTGGAAAGAGAAATGATATTATAAAAGAAAGTAGTGAGATTATGAATTGTGTGGTTGAAATTGAAAGGTTTAGATTGTTAGACATGGTATTTCCAAGCAATAACAATTTAATAACTAAAGTTTGTTTAATGTCTTTTATTAGAATGGCTTTATATGGACATGTTTCACTTAATATTGACTATTTAATTTGCTTAGCAAAATATCCTAATTATATGAAATTGAGAATGACAGCAATAGAAGGGTTATTATTATTTAAAGAAAATATTAATCTTGAACTAGTAATAAGTGATTATAGTATTGTTTTGATTAATTTTTTATTAGACACTCTTATTAAGATGATAGAATTAAAATTTAATAGTGTATATAAGGTGATAGAATATAATAGAATTTTTATTACCAAATTAAGAAATTTATTTTATAATAATCTAACTATTGTGAATAAGATAGATTTACTAGACGGAAAACTCATTTCCATCAATGAGTATAATAAGATTGTGTCTAAAAACATATCAGAAGCACTTTCAGAGAAAATATTTAATTTAAATATAGATAAATGTTACGGTCTTAAAAAGTTAATTATTAAGGACTTTAAAGCTATGAAAATGGAGTTGTATAGAAAAGATTTTAAATTAAGATTAAAGGCACCAAAACCTAAGAAATCATCCAAAACTATAAGTATATTAAGATTTAATTATTCAAAGCTATTCCCAAGAAAAATATCAAATCTTGTTATACAATTTAGATTTACGCCATCAACGATTATTTATAAAAATATTGATTTACCTGAAATACTAATAAGAAATGCTAGATCACATAAAACATTTGGATTAATTGAGAAACAAATACATTCCTTTAATAGAGATGAGAATTATCTATTAGATTTTACACCAATGCCATTTGCAGATTTAACTATAAAATACAGCAGACAAAACTTATTAAATCAAGAATATGAAGATAGTGAAAATGAAGTAAAAAACATAAATATTTTAGATGAAGATTTACCACATAAGAATAAGGTTTGTTTATGTGGATTCTGTAATGATTTATTTAATGCCCTTCGATATGTTTTGTTAAGCACAGTACCATTCTCTAAGATTTATGTATCCACTAAGACAATATTAAATGGTTCTGAAAAATTACTTTATCAATACAGTGATATAGTAAAGAATATTTCATTAATTGATAATGTAATTGAAGAATGTAAAGTATTCTTTTATAGGATTTATAATAACCCATTTTACTATATTTTTGTACCTGAAGTTGATCTAAATTTATATAAGACTTATAGTGATATAGTAAGATTTCCTATTTCGTTAAACGTAATTAAGTCTAAATTGGAAGGTGAATTTGTAATTGATAATATGATAATACCAGATCAATTTTATAAATCATTTGATTCATTCTACTATGACATAGAAAGAGTTTATTTGAACTGTAAGTTATTTAATGGAAAGAATTCAGAGATCTATAAACTTGCTATTCAGATGGAAAAAGAAGTACAAGAATTTAAACGAGGAGTTTTAAATAAACTTGTAACTAAAGACACAAAAACAATACTTAAAGAAATATTTGAAGAGAGTAAC